CCAAGATCACCGGATTCCCAAATTCCCGGATATCGGAGTGCCAAATCCTGGCAGTGCCATCTCACCGGATCCCAGAGGTGCCAGATATCGGAGCAGCAACTCCTGGTGGCGCCGGATCACCAGATTCCCGAATTCCCGGCTATCGGAGCGCCAAGCCCACCGTCTCCCAACCCCGCCGCCTCGCCCGCTCTCCTCCTCACTCCCAATCGGTGGGCGAGCGGATAACGAGCGGCGCCGCGTTCTTTCTCCCGGCTCGGATACCGGGATAAAACAAAGGCCAAATTTTTTCGGTGAAAGTAGCGGTGAACGTATAAATATGAGATCGATCGGTGACGTTATAAAAAGCCACTTTCCCCGCTTCGTAATCTAAGAAAATTCCGACGCGTTTGGGTTTCACCCGTAACGTTAAAGGCGTGAAGGGCGTGGTGGTGGCGGCGTATTTATCGCCGTTCCAGAGTCGAACGCGCCAATAGCCCGTCTCCGGTAACGTCGTGAATTCTCCTTTTCGACTGACGGAATCTTTACAGACCCCCAGAGCCCAATGGGTTTTATCTCCCACTTCGACTTCCCAGTAATGTCGCCCGGAGGTGAAACCCTGAGCGGCCAGAACGCAGGGATAGACGGTAAAGCGACGCGGGGTATCGGGTAAACGGGTTGGAGGTCGGGATTCCACGAAACGGACGCTTTTGAGATCTTGAGATAAAACGAGGTTGGGGTGAGCCGTGTCGGGATCCAGCGTTACTTCGCCTGGGAATGGGGGGAAAATAAAAAAAAAATAAAGGAAAAAATTGGAGGGTGACGGAGTGAAATTTAAAAAAAAAAAAAAAAAAGGGGGGGGATTTAGGGGGTGAAACTCAAAAAAAAAATGGGGATTTAAGGAATTAAACTTCAAAAAATTGAGATTTAGGGAGTGAAACCCCCCAAAAAATTTGAGATTTAGGGAGTGAAATCCAATAAAAATTTCAGATTTAGGGAATGAAACTAAAAAAAAAAAAAAAAATAAAAAAATTTAGGGAGGGAAAAACAAAAAAAATTGAGATTTGGGGACTGAAACAAAAAAAAAATTTGAAATTTAGGGAGTGAAACTCAAAAAAAAAAAAAAAGGGGATTTAGGGAGTGAAACCCCCCAAAAAATTTGAGATTTGGGGACTGAAACAAAAAAAAAAATTTGAAATTTAGGGAGTGAAATCCAATAAAAATTTCAGAGTTAGGGAATGAAACTAAAAAAAAAAAAAAAGGGGGTTTAGGGAGGGAAACCCCAAAAAATTTGAGATTTGGGGACTGAAACAAAAAAAAAAATTTGAAATTTAGGGAGTGAAATACAAAAAAAATTTGAGATTTAGGGAATGAAACTAAAAAAAATAATTAGAGATTTAGGGAGTGAAATACAAAAAAAATTTGAGATTTGGGGACTGAAACAAAAAAAAAAATTTGAAATTTAGGGAGTGAAACTCAATAAAAAAAAAAAGGGGGATTTAGGGAGTGAAACCCCCAAAAATTTGAGATTTAGGGAGTGAAACCCCAAAAAATTTGAGATTTAGGGAGTGAAACAAAAAAAAAATTTAGGGAGTGAAATAGAAAAAAAAAGAAAAGGGATTTAGGGAATGAAACCCACAAAAAATTGGGATTTAGGGAGTGAAATCCAAAAAAAAAAATGTGGATTTAGGGAGTGAAACCCCAAAAAATTTGAGATTTAGGGAGTGAAACAAAAAAAATTTAGGGAGTGAAATAAAAAAAAAAGAAAAGGGATTTAGGGAATGAAACCCACAAAAAATTGGGATTTAGGGAGTGAAATCCAAAAAAAAAAATGTGGATTTAGGGAGTGAAACCCCAAAAAATTGAGATTTAGGGAGTGAAACAAAAAAAAAAAGAAAATTTAGGGAGTGAAATCCAAAATAAGTTGTGATTTAGGGAATGAAACTAAAAAAAAAAAAATGGTGATTTAGGGAGTGAAACTCAAAAAATTGAGATTTAGGGAGTGAAACCCCCCAAAAAACAGGGATTTAGAGAGTGAAATCCAATAAAAATTTGAGATTTAGGGAGTGAAAACCATAAAAAATTTGAGATTTACAGAGTGAAACCCAGAAATATGGCGATTTAGGGGATGAAACTCAAATAAATTTGAGATTCAGGGATTGAAACTCAAAAAAATTTGAGATTTAGGAAATGAAACCCCCCAAAAAAATGGGGATTTAGGGAGTGAAACCCAAAAAAAATTGAGATTTAGGGAGTGAAACACAAAATTTGAGATTTAGGGACTGAAAACCCCAAAAAAATTGAGATTTAGGGAATGAAACTAAAAAAAAAAAAAAATCTGAGATTTAGGGAGTGAAATACAAAAAAAAATGGGGATTTAGGGGGTAAAACTGAAAAAAAAATGAGGTTTAGGGAGTGAAACTCAAAAAAATGGGGATTTAGAGGGTGAAACCCAAAAAATTTTGAGATGTGGGGAGTGAAACCCAAAAAAATTTCAGATTTGGGGAGTGAAACCCAAAGAAATTTCAGATTTAGGGAGGGAAACCCAAAGAAATTTCAGATTTGGGGAGGGAAACCCAAAAAAATTTCAGATTTGGGGAATCCAAAAAAATTTCAGATTTGGGGAGTGAAACCCAAAAAAATTTCAGATTTAGGGAGGGAAATCCAAAAAAATTTCAGATTTAGGGAGGAAAATCCAAAAAAATTTCAGATTTAGGGAGGGAAATCCCAAAAAAATTTGAGATTTAGGGGG